ATTAATACAGTTTAATACACTGCTGCCAAAGCGCACGTGAGAGAGGGCACAGCAGCTTATAGATGCAGCTCAGCATGTATCTCCTGCATGTTTATTTTAAACCTCACTCTAAGTCTATGGGAGTAAATTTCCATCCTGAGTCTGCATGGACTTTTGGCTGCATGCCCTTACAGCTAAGGCTAAATAAGACAAGAAATCAATGACAGCATGCAGAAGGGCCAGCTCAGCCTCCAAAAAAGAGTCAGCATATTGCCTATTTGTGATCTCTGTGCTTCCATATATGCTTTCTTCGACTTCTCTGAATACCAAGCCACCTTAAGGGGGGAAAAAAAAAGTTACATAAAACCAGAGATGCAATTACTCAACAAAAACTACATTTACTTTACTTTTATATGGTTTGATACAGGAACAAATCTCTCCAGTGACTCCTCTTCCTCTTTTGGGCACACATACGGATTGATCAGACTATTAAACACTCAAAAACACCCACACAAGAAAACCCAACAGTTATGAAATACCACAAAGAAAGATCTAAACCACAAATAGAGAATAAAAAAAAAGCGGGGGGATTAGGAACTCATTTCAGGTTTTACAAAGCTGAATAATTTTACCCAGCAGCCACTGATTTAAGAAGTTAGGTCGTGCTATAAACCACTGGGGAACACTCTCGGCAAAGGAGCCAGAGGGACTATTCGGTATGTCCATGTCCGCCCTCCCTTAGAGCACAGCTCAAAAGGTTCTCAGCAGAATTAGGCTAAAAAGGACAGGCAGCAAGACCACGTCCCCCTGCTTCAGTAAACCAACATTTACATTTATATATCATGCTACATGCAAGGCAGTCCCTAAAATTAAGGAAAAGTAGGAAAAATCAAACCAGAAATGTACGCCTTCCTAATACTGGCTGACCTCCCAGTGGCAAGCTGACGGGCAAACCAGGCACCTTATCCTAAGGCAGAATACCAAAACTATCAACCATAGCAGAGTTGGCTAGCCCCATAATCCTGCCCATTTTCTCCAAGGATTACCTAGAAAACCACAAATCACAGAAATACAGCATGGAAAAGACTTGTGACTACTTCCACCAAGAGAACCTTCCATACACAACCCAGCCCATTATTTGGTTGTTCTTCCTTCCCCTCTGGTTCATTCCACCAGTTACAATTACAGGTTTTGGACTACTGAAAAGCACATTACAGCTACAAAAGTCAGTGCCCTGCTATCAGATATCTCATACAGCCTCAGGAAAAAAAAAAAATAAATGAAGAAATCAGAATCTACTCTGGCAAATTCATGAAGGAAAAGTCTTTTGAAAGAACTGGGTTATCCAACAGGTCTGACAAATGTCTGCAAACTTACAGAAGCAAAGAACCAACAAGGAAATAGTTTATAGAAGCAACCTGAATGCCAAGCCTGTCAACTGTCATATTAATATATATTACGTGCTCTCTTTGAGCTCTCTTAAACTAGAAATTATTAGTCAAACATGATTAATACGTAGTCAGTACTCAAAACAACTTATATATATATACACACACATAAAGGTATAAATATATATGGGCAAGTGCATGTATGTGTGCATATATATATATACCCCCCCACTCCTATATAGGGTATACCTATATAAAGGCAATACAAATTCAAAGATGCTCAGACAAGACGGAGTCACCCAGCCACAGAAAACAAGGGAGAAGAAACCAGTCAAAGCCATGTTTGGTACAAGATCTCCATGCTGCTAATGCTGGATTGCTTCTGGCAAAAGCAGGAAGGAATTTTAAGTCAATGGGAGACATAAAAAGGAGAGTTCATCAAAGGAAAAAGAAAAGATAGGGAGCTCAAACACTTTAACCAGTTCCACGGATAGCCCTTCGAAAAAGTGAACAGAGAGCTCCAAATCTCTACAAACTGGCTACAACTTTGATGCAGCTAAGGAACAGTCTTACTAGCAAGTGTTATTTAGAATTGTTTTTCTATTTGATGCTATTTTCTGTTGTTCCCAGTTTTCGAATCAAGAATTAAACCCTCTGTTTTGCTAGAATAAAGCTGGTTTTAAGGTTGCCCAGTGCCTAAAAATGCCTAGCGATTAACAGGAACTAAAGTGACCATTAGGCACATGGCTTTCAAAGACTGCCAGTCTGACTGGATTTGAAGAAATCCTTTGAGGTACCTCTAAATCGAGACAGATTTAAGCTTCTCAGATATTGGCCAAAAAACAAAAAAAGAAAAGTCTCTGGGCTTAGAGACACTGGTGTTAAGCACCAGGGAAGAAAGGAGAAGTCCAAGGAACACTCTGGCCAGAACAAACAGGTAGAGCGATCATGGCAGCATGAAAATCTTTATGCAAGAGAATGCTTGATATGTAGGTATCAAAATTAAGTTCATTGGTGAACTATTTCATTAAAAGGATCAGCAGTGTAATAGTTACGGCTGAAATTCTCCCATCACTGCTAGACTTGAGTTAATTAACAGTCCACTGCCATTAATCTGTGTTTATGCTAAGTTCTTCATGAAGAAGACAGAGAACAATTGCAAGCCCCACTCATCATTATGCTACTGCATTTTCTGCTATACTTTCCTTGGATTTTTACATTACTTTTCCCATTGGACTTGGCTTCAAGCATCACTTCATACAAAGCTCTGGGTACCTAGCATCTAAATCTGCAACTCCTTCCTCCACGTCCTTCCTGGTTACCAGACGGGACCTTATGCTTTTCACCCTTTTCCTCCACTCTCCAAAGAGCCAGCTTGACTACGAGGGTAATATGAAGGAAAAGATGTTATTGCTTCCCAAACTGACAAAACCACAAGAAGAAACGTTATTCTTCTTTCCCGATGAGCTTCAGAACACCAACTTGCTGCTCTCTAGAGCTTTTCCCAAACAGCAGCCAACAAACTCATACACGGTTATCCCCACACGCTGCCACCTACATGGAAAATACTTGCAAGCCAATTATGTATAATTTTGTACTGAACTGCAAAGAGACCTTGCAACCTGAACTGCAACATTACTGCTGCTGATGGTCTGCTGGGTCCACCTTTGCCCTAGGGACCGGTTCACATTTGTCCCATTTTGCAGCAGGGGAGCAGTGGAAATCTCAAAGGCAGAGGCATGAAGAGAGAAGAGCAGAAAGGAATTTGAAAGAAAACTTCTCACTGAAGCATTAAGATTTGCTGGTCATGGATAGAGACCGCATTTGTAAAAACAAAACTAGCGTTGCTGATAATCAGCCACGTGGAGTTGAAACAGCAAAGTGGAAAATCCAGTCTCAAGCTCAACATCAAGTTAAAGATTTCCAAAGAGTTTTACTCAAGTTACTGTTATACAAAGGCTCCTGGAACAGTGTTCTGAGAAGTTTTAACGTTTCTACTGTTGGCACGAAATTTCTGAAAGCCATTAGATAAGGCAGTTGTTTTCTGCTTGTCCCATGAAATTCTACTTCGCTTTGGCCAAGTTACAAGCTGGTTAAAAAAGCAAACAAAAAAATCCAAGACCAAGTCCTCCTTCACAGTATTTCCCTTCTTGTACTCATGCTGCTCAAGGAATTTCTGGTTATATGCTATATGAGCACAATATAGTTTAAAAAAACTACACTGCCCTACCAACAAAACAGCAACGGCCATATAACACTGGAAATGCTTGCTACCACCAGGCAAGGGGAAGGAAGGAAGGACTGATCAAAAAAAAAAAAAAAAAAAAAAAAAAAATTTAAATCACATTTCTCCTTGATTCCTGGAAAGTGGTTTTGCAAGCTTGCCATAGGCACAGGGCCAGGTCCCCGCCAAGCACCTCCCAGAGAGATAACAACGGGGCTCCTCCAATTACCCCTCCATGCACTGCACGAGCCTGCAGCGACCTGCCACCAACAACTTATCCTGGAGATGTCAGCTCCTTCTCTAGCTCCTAAGACCATGAAGTGGGTGGGCTGCCTCTCCCATTCTGCTGGCCCACTTCATGGCAACAGCAGTTAATAGCCTTCCAGTAGCTATCAGCTCTCATATACAGTCCTTTACAGCATTGCGGACACATGTATACCGGCATCTGAAGACAACTAAGGATGTAATCTGCTTTAGAAAATGAAAAATTATAACATTTATATCAATTATTACATAGCATATAAATATTTATGCCTATATATAAAAAGATCAGAGGAAGTTCAGAAGGCCATCTAGCCCATTTCGCCCCCTCATGGCTTACATTAACTCCCACATGGGACAGAAAGATTTTTTTTTTTTTTTGACTTCATGGATGACCCTATTTTAAGCAATAGGTTGGACCAGATGCCATCTTGAGGTCCATTTCATCCTGCATTCTCCTATGATTCCTAAAATGCTGATACATACATAGACAAGAAAGCTGTTATAGCTTCACACTAAAACAAAACCTTGCAACCCCTTTTTAAAAAAAACAAGGAACTTTTATACCTAGACTGAAAGAAAACACAGATGGCAATGTCTACTTCTTGAGATTTATTAAATCCATCTATTTGCTCCTTCTTCTGGAGCATAAGCGATTTGACAAATGCTACAATCACACAATCATACATTATTCTTTCCTCCGGGCTTTGAAATTCAGCCTGTATATGGAACAGATGCACAAGGAAGGGGGACAGAAGCATACAGAGACCGTGTCTGGGAAAAGTCACGTAAGTGCTTTAAATCTAGAGTGCTTAACACTGAATCCTAGGAAACATATCTGCACGTATGGAAAGTAGTGCTAAAATGTGCAAATGAAGCCCAGTTGTGCTCCACTAAATTAAAAAAAGAGGTTGTGTGTATCCAAATCTGTTACGCTATTGTTGTGCTATACTAATAACACTACTCCTCATGGACCACACACTGCCATACTGAAAAAGATCTGCTCCAACATGATCTGTTGGGCACCACTATAGCATTTTCTCAATGTTATCACATGTACTACCTTCACACTCCTGTCTCTAGAAATTCAGAGTTCAGTTGTACCCCAGATGGTTACCAGGAGGCACTGCCTTGTTTTTCATTCTTACCTTCTCTCCACTAGAGTAGAAGAAGTAACGCAATCGGACAATGTTACAATGATCCAACTTTCTCATAATCTGGAGCTCTCGGTTCTGAAAGAAGAGAAAAGCAAACAATTAGAAAAACTCTTTTCTCACAAAGTTAGAGTACTGTAATGAACACCTTAATATACAGACACAGGAGCTGACAAAACTAAGGAACCAAAGAACAACTAAAGTTGGAAAGAGGCAACAGCTTTCACACTTTTATTAGTCTTTCTTCCAATTACTTTATCACTGAGAATATCTACATCTTTGAGTACATTTTCCCTCTAAGATAAAGGTCCACAAATCCATCACAAAATCCAAGATTTACCTACTTACATTACCAAAGTTTCAGTGGTAAAAGGCAAGAAATTAACTTTGCAATTTTTGATCTTACAATAAGACAATATATCAGCCAGAATGGTTGGCAGCCTATCCCCCTTGAATACTATAAAAATAATATAAACAACGTAAAAGCAAATGGAATATTTCCACCTACACGCCTGCCCTCCTCCCCACTGCCAAAGAGGTCTGTGCTGGAAGACGATTTCCCATACCACTCTCTTTGCAATACCAAAAAAAAGCACCTGAAAGTGAGTAGGCAACTCAGTTCCCGCTTTAGTTCAACCAAGGTTTAACCAGGTTTAGGCAGACAGAATAACAGTGTTATTTTCTCATTTTGTATCAACCTGAAAAAGCTGTTACAATAGGAACGGTTCATTACATGGATGATAAACTGGGGACTTTACTGCAAAATCCATTGTAACTGAGCCCTAAATAAATGAGGGATCTCCTAGCCTAACAGATACAAATGAGTGAAATGTTGAAGTGCAGGTATGAATAAAAACAAGCAAGCAAAATTAGCACAGCTATGTTTGTTATACTTCATTTCACAGCTGTTGCTACAATACTCCTTTACACATTTAATACACATTTACACATCACTGTTTTTCCTTCCTCAATTACTATACAATCTGCAGCTTCAAAAATAGAAGGTATTCCAATTTTTACTTGGATCACGGGGTTGCTAATCATGCATCCTAACACGCTAGGACCAGTACGCTAGACTAACACACTGGTCCTGCTGGCATCATTAACTCTGGCCCACTTCAGGACTATTTGGGAAGAAAATTCTTTAGCCACCACACATTTTCATACTTAAATACACAAAGCTAACACCTGCTTTGTGTGGAGCTGCTGTCGAAATAAGGATTTCATATTCTATGTATCAGAGGGTCACGTAGGGTGCCTATCACTACGATTAAAGCTTAAGGAACTCTGCAAGAACCGCTCAGAGCTTCTAATATGAACGTGGCTATGAACTATGCTTTTAATTCCTCTAAGCCACGTAGCCTTAAAAGAAAGAGGTGTTAGATAGGATGCAGTATCATTAATCCTATCATCCCTGCCACCCGCTGACTGAAAAAATACTTCAGTATTAGCCAGCTCTTTACAAACACGAGGGACATCTCACACAATTATCAGTTGGCAATTATCCAGCTAGTAGTTAAGGAGAAAGCAAGTCCTTCCCTGAGCCTGCCTGGCTTCCGAACAGATTAAAGCTTAAGTCCATTAGGTACACACCAAGACAGGCCTATTCTATCCTGAAGGAGGAAGAAAAAGAAAGAGAAAGCAGGGAGAGACCTTTGAGGCTTTCATGTATCTCCTGAAATCCCATGGAGTGAATTTGTGAACGAGGAAAACAGGCTTCATCACATAACCTTGTCAACACGCCTCGCATCCCACACAGAAAAGCTTTCTCCTGGTAGGAACAGGAGCTCAATCAAATATTCACCACTTATTCATTTTTTATTAAATGCCATGAAAAAGAAGTCAATTTTGAGAGTCACGGCTGGGGTTCCTGTGACGCACGGCACAGTTCAGACTTCAGACCAACAGAAGGACCTTATCCTCGTCTTGTCCGAACCCCACACCACTGCTGGCTCGGTGGCTTCTCCCTGGACCTTACAACCCAGGGCAGATTTCAACTAGCGAGCCGAAGTAAGGATGGCTCTAGATCCCGTCGGTCACTGAAACACCAACTATGGCAAGAGATTAATTTCTCCAGTTGGCTTCTACAGCGCTTGATGGTGTTACTACAGGACTGAGCCTAACACTCCAAGTCCCAGCACCTCAACTAAATTCCACCAGCAATTCATAGCACAATGTAAGGTAAGTAATTTCTTCCTCCCTTTTTCCCATTGGCTGTGAGATGGGAATAATACTTTTTATCTCATGGAATTCCTGGAAGAAACAGGAATGCACTAAGCATGAATGTGCAGATACTATTTTGGCAATATCTCTACTAGCTCCTTAAAATACACATACGTACTCTTAAGTCAGGTTACCACTTCATGTTCTTTAGATAGTATGTATATGCTGACTGGATACACGGGGCGGGGGGGAATCAGAAGTTATTCTAACACTAGGCTGAAGTTTTATTTATACTCTGGTATCTCCTCCTAGCACAAGCACAGCCTGTGCCCACTTCGGTGCCTTCCACTCGGACCCACTGCCTTCAGCTCCATCCTGACCATCTGCTGCAGCTGCACAAACAGTGCTTCAAGAGCTGCTAATACCGGGGATAACTCACAAACCCATTACACAGTAACCTGTATCTCCCATCCTGTGACCAGACAGAAGGAAAGAAATTTAAACTGTCATCTTAGTCAAATAGGCACCTCGGCCACCTTAAACCCAAGCTGACTTCTAATCACCACTCCCTGGTGGAGTTAAAACTAGAAATACTCGAACAGTTGCAAAGCTCAGACTGGATGTGGCGGGGGAACAGCTACTGATGTTCATGTAACACACCGATGCTTGAAAGGACTCATTTCTTCCCAGATGATTACTTCAAGTAGGCTCACTTTACCATGTATTTCCCTGTATACATCTTACATAAATAACAGCTTTTTCGCATTATAACGTGGGCTATTAATGACCAGTGCACAAATGCATGGGGAGGGGAAGGATATCAGATTATAAGCAGGGAACCTTTAGTGAAGTGAACGGTGAACCTTTAGTGAAGTACAAGAGAGAAAACGCATGTCTAAATATAATGCAAACTAAAACCATTTCAAAACGCGCTGATGAGAAAGGCTGACAGTGCACGATCAAAATACAGGGTGGAGGAAAACACAAAGCTCGTGCTTATCCTTAACTCATCATTTTTGTCTTCTAAGAGACATGGATGCAAAGTCGAAGACTCAAAGAGGAAATTATTCGTCTTTCCCCCATGCAGATGAAGAGAAGGGTTTAGTTTTCTTACTGCGAGTACCAGGCCTGGTGAGCCCCGAGGAAAGCAATACCCCTCCGCGCCAGCCCTGCCGCGAGAGAGGGCCCGGCAGACTTCGGTTCACGCCGAAACACAGAGCTCCTGCGGCACGCGTTCCTTCGAGAAGCCGCAAACCGACGGGACTATGAACAGATTACGCAGCAAATTTCTGTTGCATTTTGATTTCTTTCTCTAAAATCTGTTTCTTTATCCAGAAGGCTGCTGACGCACAGCTCCAGAAGATTGCTTTACAACCAGTGCATCTGAGCCCTTCGCTAATGACTGAAGCAAACCCAACGGGACAAAACCCTGTTCGTCACTTCTGAAGACAACTTTCCTAGCCCAGACTGCCTGTAACTGTTCATTACATTGAAGAAATCCATTTGCTCATCACGGTTAAAGATATGGTTAAAGATTGCCAGGACAACATCAGACTTGTAGCTTCAAAGCATAGCCAGTAAAGCTCATGTATGAAGACTGATGCCTTCTCTCCAAAGTTACAACCCCAGTTCCTCCTAACTGTGCGAATGCTGCAGTTGATATAAAACCACCAAAGCAAGATCATTTCTGCCTCACTAATCTAATCTGCTATTACAGACTAGAATAACCATCACCCCCCCACACACACACTCCCTTCCCTCCCCATCCAGACATTTCTAGAGCTTTGCCAGTTTGCATTCATCACCCCAACCTGGATCTTTGCCTGCTCTCTTTTCTCCCGCCCCCCCCGCCTTTTTACAACAGGGGATAAAATGACTGGATCGTCAGCGCTGATGCCTTATGGACTTGCAACTTCTTGAATCGGACCAGAGCAAATGAAGGTGGAAGGTCTTGTACAGCTCATGTCAGCACAACATTATCAATACATACCAATGAAGTGTAGAAATATCACTTGGATCCAGTTCAGAAGAGAATTCCTCAGAGCTTCCTTAGCTAAAGGGTATACTGGGTTTTGCTCTTTTTTTTTTTCCCCCCCTTCCAAAATGCCTGTTTAAAGCCTCAGCAACGTTCTTTGAGGATTATGTTCAAAGCAGATGAAGTGGGAGAAATTAGAAATGTGTGGTTTTGCCTTGTGTCACACCAAGGACGTGACCTGGTTCTTGTGAACAGATAAGATTGTGTATGTCTTGTACTTCCAAGAGAGAATATCTTTTTGATGGAAAGGCCGGGATAAGCAACCAATCTATTTCAACAAGCAACCTCAGCAACAGTCTTCTCGCTTAAAACAAGTAACGCCAGCAACTACAGTTAATTCTCATTTTTGCACTTTTTTAAGCTAATTTTTATTCTTTGCAGGGTAATACCTTCAAATGCTGAAGCTCAGTATCTCACATTCTTCTATCAGGTCAGAAAACCAGAAAATGGAGGGTAATTGTCACGTGAACTCTGGCATTACAGATGGATGGAAGCAGCACGGATAGATGCAAATTTCTCAGTATACACAGTCTTCCTCCTCTTGCACGTCATGTTTACAGTTTCCTCCTTTCTCCTGCTTCCATCATAATTTTCTCCATTCTACCACATTTCTTATTCTTCAGTAAAAGTTTTCCCCACAGTGAAGAGCCGGAGCAGGGAGCCACAGGCAAAGTTGGGGAAGAAACCAGTTTGCAGTGGGAGGCATGAAGGCAGCGATAAAGCAGCAGGGCTTCCCTTTTTTTTTTTTTTTCCCCCTGCTTCCTTCCACTTGAACCACGCAAATGACAAGTCACCTGCACTCACCTTCACCCGCTGGGCTGCCGAGCCTGCCCAGGAAACAGGCTGAGACCCTGAGAGATGTAAAGCGTTGTCATACAGC